TTCGTTTCACCGGAAGTGTTGGCGCATGCCGCATTTCCGGCTTCTAAACTGTTAATACTGTCTATATATTTATATATTGTTAATCTCCAACAATCTATTAACGTTTCTTAGTGCCATCAGTCCAATCATATTTCATGCCAAAACATGTCAGACACATGTATACCAACTAAATTCAGGTATTGAATACCTTGGGCTTGGAAAGGTTATGTGGTACCAACAAAAAGTTGGCAGATAGCACGGGTACCGCGTACCTACGCGGTACGTCGCTGAAAACAAAGAAGTACCAGACTGTGACGCGAATTATCGCACCTTGATTATTATGCGTTTTTTTGTGTGTTTTTTTTTATTATAAGTCTTAATGGCACATCATCACAAAAATTTGAATTACAATGTGCTTACAATAATAACATTATGATAAGTAATAAAGTTATAATAAAACTAATGCTATATTTACAATTTACAATTTCGATGTAAAAAATTAAGGTATATACTTAGGCTATTGTCATAGTTTAGTGGTTTAAAATAGAGTCACAATGACATGTTTAAAACTCGAATCATACTTGGAAAAAGCTTTTCTTAAAACGGTCAGTTCTACATTTGAACGACGACCAGTTGTTAAAATTACGTAAACTATAGTTTACATTTTCTCTAGTCTGAGGTAAAAGATGAGATAGCCGGTTACCATCAGTTATACTTTTACTCGGTAAGACCTGTCATGCAGGGAGGATTATATTCAATGCTGTTTTCTGAACTCTTTCAATTGAGTCAGCAAGATTAGCTGGTAGACTGTTATGCCACACAATATAGCAATACTCGTGAGGTGAATTCCACCTCGTTTAAGAACTCTAAGGATCTGGAAACGCTTGGGGGCACTTTTTGCTGTCATACCATCATATCCATTCCACTTAGAATATTCTGTATGACCAAGCCAAGAACCTTGTGACTGGAAACAATTTCCAGGGGAAGTCCTTCCAAATTGAGACGTTCTAAAGTGGGTCGCTCCTTAAGAAAACATATGTGCATCTCTTTGCATTTCTTTGAATTTGTAACTTCATCAAGTTGTTGTCGACCCATCAATTGACGTCATCAAGATGATTCTGTATATATGGGACTCACCGTTCCTTGACAGGGACTCGGAAATGGAGACATCGTCCATGAATTTCCAAGTACCAGTATTTCCTACGGATGAAGTATTTAGATAATGCATTGATCATAATAAAAAATAAGATTTGTTCCTTGCGGTACACCAGCTGCAACCGCTAGCCAGTCCGAGGTAGCGCTACCAAACCTTACACACTGTTTACGGTTAGACAGAAAACGAGCACTTTACTCTGATATCAATAAGCTTATACTAATAAACACACTGATGCCTGATACGATCGAAAACCTTTGTGCGGTCTAAAAGGAGTAGGCGGATATACTTATCAGGAGAGTCAAGGTGGGATAGCCAATTATGTATCATATCGAAAGGGCAATATGCTGTTGATGATCTTCTTGAACAACCAAATTGTTGTACGTTTTAAAATATTATTCACGACGTCTTCCATCATCCATTGTACAACAAAGTCCTCCAAGACTTTGGAGAGATAAAGGGTGAGAGAGATTGGTCGAGTATTTCCTTCACAAGTCGGTTGTGACACTTTTGGAATTGGGAAAATGCACGAATCTTTCCACACGGCAGGAAATGTTCCAGAAGTTAGGGATGTGTTAAAAATGGTTGAAACGGGTTCCGCAAACTCGTGAGCAAATTCCTTTAATACACGAGGGTGTAATATTGTCAGGGCCTTGAAAGGTTGAAGAGCTCAAAGTTTCTTATAACCTTGGTAAGGTTCAATCGTAGGTGGTGTGTCAGGAGCGGGTATAGGATAGGCTGGATCGATATACCGGATATATCCGATATACCGGTATTTGTTTAGATACCGGTTTGGCGATATTGACAATTTAAAAATACCGATATACCGACATTTTGGTATTTTGCTGCCTAATACCGAAATGAAACGCTCTTTCAAGTCAAACTTGCTTACAATCACGTTTAGAAAGCAAAGTTAATACTCACAGATGCATGATTTTGTTCTTACAGTTCTAGCGGCTTTGGTTTAGCAGTACCCGCCTTAATCGGAAATATAAAAATGGCGAAATTTTTAAAGGAAAATTTCGACAAAAAAGAAAACTTTGATTTTGGAAGGTGGAAATACTAGCATTTGCGAAGCAGCGAAAACCTTTTCTGGCTTTTCAAGTTTTTTTACATGCTTGCTAACTTGTTTATGTGTTAGTTTTAAAAATGCAATTACGTTTTTTATGTTTATAACTATTAGCAGCTTACTGAAACACTATCTGATTTTATATACAAAACGAATATTTTTCTGAATGATTCAACGCTTCGACGCCCAATCGACGGCCTACTAATAATTGCCGCTTAGCGCTGTTAATTGTTAATGATAGCTTGATAATGCGAATCTTGTGACATTTGCACTAATAACAGTATGTGCCACATTAATATTTTGTCAAAACTTGATTTTTCTTGACGGTCAGCACTTCAGTTTGGCTTAAAAAAACGCGTTAAAAATACCGGAATACCGGTATTTACCGGTATTCTGATGGCGGTATATCGGTATTTGCGATATCGATCCAGCCTAGTATAGGAATGGATATCTGCATTAACAGACACGTAGAAGACTGTTTGCCAATTCATAATCAGATAAAACTTTACCATCCCGCTCAAGGCTGAAGCTTTTGGTCTTACTTCATCTTCCAGACATTATATTCACAGCATTCCACCACTTCCGACAATCATCTTTACGAAGATGCTGAATCTTATCCTTATAAAACATTTCCTTCCTCTGTTTTATTTCTGATTGCACGTTGCACTTCAGTCGTTACAGTACCACTGTTGCTTATCACCTCTATGAAAGGCTTTTTGACGATCTTTAAAAGGTTGCTTGATTGAAGGGGTAATCCAAGGTTTATCGGTGTGATGTAATTTCATCGTCTTTAAGGACGTGATTCAGCAACGCGACGCGAATTTTCAATTTTCAATGACATTTAACTTTACTATTTTTCTATGTTTTTCAAATATTCGGAACCACTTATTAAGCATTTTTAGCTATTTGGTCTACATATCTTGTAAAATTTTTATCCGTTGACGGTTTTATTTGTTTTTTAAAAACAGAAAATTCGCGTCGCGTTGCCGAATCGCGTTCGTTCGGTCTGTGTGTGCCTTTAGTGGGAAGATGTTATTAAGAGAATTGGTCACTTGTGATGAAAAAGAGGTAACCAATTCGTCCGTCGTTGGATTGTCACCGAGTTCGTCGAACCAGTTTTTTGAGCATGCCTACCGTCCGAAAACCTCAATTCCAGAACTAAGTGCTTTGTGGGCTAAGCTTTTGAGCTCAAATTCCATGTTTTTATTGATATTTTGGAAATTGTAGCGTGTAAAAGGCCTCAAAACTATTTACTGGTCTTTTATACGCTACAATTTCCAAAATATCAATAAAAACATGAAATGATCCACAAAGTCAAAGCTTTGTAAATTATATATAAAAATGTTGCCAATGATGAGATAAACACAATTATAACAGTTACATTTACAAATGATAAACAACGGACAAGAACACAACGTGCAAAGACCACTAGACTTCACTTAGTAACATTGACATTGACCCTCAGCAATGTGTATGTTTCAACGGAAAAACAATTACCGGAAATTAAAACGCTGAATTTCGAAATCCGCAGTAGTATATATTACAGAAACGAATTGTCAGACTGCTGACAAAGTTCTAGTGATTTATGGCCTTTGAAAGTCAAGCAAGATTGTATATTATAATATTATTCAATTTTCTCATTAAAATATAAACTGGCCACACTTTTCACTGAACAAAACTTCGGTCCCTTGGGACGTATCTTCTTCGTAATTTAGCCTTGTTCGAATCGTATCCAAAACACTATTTAGAGTGTTATTTTTGAGCTTGTATCTTCGGATTTTCATCTTTTATTTCAGTATTTCAGTTTGTAGTGTGCATATAGCATGAGTCTAAACTGGCAATACAGCTTCACACGAGATGTTTGTGGTTTGTACTCTTGGAGTTTGGAAACACTGGAAATAGATTCTACAGGTCAAAGTACCCAAGTAGCATGCTTTGTACATATATCCAGCTATGGGTGCTCCTTATATATCAGTAGATGGCCAAGTAAAGCGTGGGTACGCATGTGAGAGTATAAAAAACCCAATATTTTGAAAAATTCAGTATAAATATTTCTACTGTATTTAAACGAAACTTTCTACTCGCTGTATTCAAAGGAAACTTTCTATATGAAAGCACTTGAATACAAGGAGCTTATTTTACTACAATTGACTTGGGGCAAATTCTGAAGTGTTTAGAAGATATTCAAGTATTTTCTCCAAATGAAATACAGAGTGTTCGGCCAAGGGTTCAGAGTAAATGCACAATTGTTTTGTGTAATGTTTTGGTGGCATAAAGCATTCAAACCTCCTGCTAAAAAGATTATTTTGTGAGGATTTCAAAAGCGTTTTTTGTTTTAAAGGGGGGTAAATACTCGCCGAGACATTTACATTAAAAGAATTGAATTGTAAAATAGCAAATGGGGGCAGATCCAGAAGGTAAACAGGCCTAGGAAAAAACAACAGACCAAAAAAATTTCTGCTAATATTCTAACATGTGGGTATACAGTAACTAGGCAAGATGATTGAGTATGATCTAAGTGACCCAATTTATTTACTATACATTGTTTAAGTTGTATAATTATCAATTTTAAACTTGTCCACTATTACACTGTAATTTAGTCCATACTCTCATTTCTCCCAGGTTGCATTTGGTGTAGTCTAACTGGAAGATCTTCAGCGTAGAGTTACTGTAAGCCTTGGCGTACTGGCGTACAATCACCCGGTCTAGCGTAGTGGCGCAGCTGTTTTTAACTTGCTGGCGCATAATTACCAATAAATACATCAAACGGCGTAACAGTGGAATTTTTGCATAACAAACTCATACACCCTGGCGTGGTGAGAGTCGGAAGAAGGGGTCAGAGTGGGATGTCGGCATATCTTTGGCATACGAGCGTTTTAATACACCAAATACACCCTGCCATTTCTCCCACTCTTCACTTATATGTTTTGTTTCTTTCTTTCTTTCTTTTACACTCATTCTTTTTCTTCTCAATTCAAAATTATCTGTATCAGTGAGTGGTTGTATAACACTGTCTGAAAACTGGGAAAAATGCTGTATAGATGTTTTATAATTAAATACATTAGGAAATGAATATAACACTGTCCGGAAACTGGGAAAAATGCTGTATAGATGTTTTATAATTAAATACATTAGAAAATGAATTAATAAATTATAAAGACATACACAATGAAGAGTAGCGTTTTAAGCGGTGTAAATCAATACCGTTGTTGCTGTTTTACGTGTCTTACCTTTTTAACCTCAAAACGTTTCTTGTTTGTAGCTGAACTAGAGGTTGAGGGTTGTCTAGAAGTGTCAAAATCCATATTTTCTGGAGCGGCGGCCATGTTTGTTTCCTTTACCGAATGCCAAGAGGATTGGGGAGAGCATCGCTGTAGGACACTTCAACAACACATACATGAAGTACTCGCCGTAAAAGAACGAAGAGAAGAAGATTCAATATATTATTACCAAAAATTGTTATCAAAAGAAAATGTTGCGTCATTGCAGAAAAAATTTGCTGGGTTTTGTTAGACAGAATAGACGCTGTCTAGCTTCAAGTAGTGTAGTTTGTAAATCTTATTCACTTGATGGAAAAGGTTGGGATGTGTTGTCTGGCAAGACCACAAGGATTGGATGTGCCTCGGGTTTCTGGGGCGATTCCCCTTCTGCAGGTTAGGCTTGGAATTATTTATCAATTTGATACATTGAAGAAAATTCAAACAAACCAATCTAATGTTCTTATAACTAATTTAATGTTCTTGTAGGCGGATCTATCACTTATAGGCGGATCTATCATGAGGGGGTGCAACTATACAGCCAGGGTGTGTGGACCCCTCCCAGTCGTGACCAGTACCCCCTTGATTTTGCAAGGAAATAATCAAGCACTAATATGGTTGATCACTATAACATAGCAGTTGCTGTAATCTGTGTTATATGTTATTAATTTTAGCAAGGATCAGCTAGTACCTGACTGGAAGGTTTGGAATTGCACAACCGAGATTTAAAAAAATTAATAGTAACAATAGTATATTTAATAGTATACAGAAAGCATCAAAATTGCATGCCAAATATCTCGGTTGCACAATACAAACTTTCCACACTGGAGCCAGTATACCATGTATAGTGTATACCCTTACAAATATATAACGAGTCACAGCTAGGAGTTATATGTACATGTATATCAAGAGTCATATAGGAGTTATACATCTGAAATATTGGTGTTGTGCATTGCTGATCACCATACAGTACATTTATATACTTCATGCATTGTAGAAGTATACACAGCCACATAACCAGGCATGTCAGATGCATGTCATGACTCGTGTTGCAAAAGCTGATATGCGGCTGTTTCAAGATGATTTCAACAAAATAATTTTTCCTTCCCACCACCGGCCTGGTTGTGATGATCATCATCTGGTGTAGAACATTATATCACAGAAGGATTCACAAATTTTTTTCAATTATTGATTTTTTACTTTTCTTACTTTTTGCCTGAGGACAAACCCTTTGAAAACCAGCACCTCCCACAGGAAAATGACCTGTGCACAGGAAAATACCATTAATGATAAATATTAAACATCATGGTTTTTACCAATTTACCATATGGGAAATCTATAATAACCATTAATGGTAAAAGTTCAGTTTTTACATTCACTATAGTATACATGGTAAATGTTTAAAAACCATTCAAAAACCCATTAATGGAAATTTAAAATGTTTTCATGTGTCACATAATTGATTTGATGGTACCATTGATTAATGGGTTTCATTTAAATACCACCAATATACATTGTGTTGGCAATATTCCCAGCAATTAACATCATGTGATATAAACATAAACCATTCTTATCATTTATGGTAAAAACTATAATCACCATGATGTATAATATAGAACAAACCCATGATCTATATCATTCATATGGTAAAACTATAATAACCAATGATGTTAATATCAATAAAACCCATCAATATAGTCTGTGTTGGATATTAATTGGAGTGAATGGTACCAATAACTGGCGACAGTGATGGGAACGGAACTTAAAGAGACTCTTTTTTAAATGGAGTGAAGACACAACTAGGATAAAATTTTGAAATGTTAAGTGTGATATCTGGCCAGGAATCAAAAATCAACAAAATTAATTAGTATACAAAATTTGGAGTGATAAACAGTAGAGGTAGACTTTTCATGAAGATCTGGGGGAAGCATGTAAGATGGTACGAACACGCAACAAAACGAAACGAAGGAGATCCGGTCAGAGATAAAAGGGAACAAAGGAAAGAAGAAACTGATGGATAGACTGTACAGAAGAAGAAATAAATATCGTGGAACTGAAGGCGCACACGACAAAGGAAGGAAAGAGAGAGAGAGAGAAAGAGGACAATTAAGAATCGGAGCAGCCGAGCCTGGAGTTGTCTGGAACAAGAGTTGAGTGAACGACGAATGTGAAGAAGAGAACTCTAAAAGCCAACACTAACCTATTTTGTTGGAAGATTTAACAGCATTAAAGATACGCAGGGTATTAGCCAGAAAAAAAGTTTTGTCCGTTAAACGTAAATTGGGAAATTTTTTTTGACCGATCAAAGTCCTTGTGTAGGAATAAATAGTTTTTTTTCCCAACGTGTTTCTCCTTAGATGCAAAAAACGGTAGCTTGGTTTTGTACATTTCATTTCCGGTGAATGAACACTGAAAAGATGCACCCGATGCACACCGATTACACTTTGTTTTGTACATTTAATTTCAGTGAATACACACCCAATATGAGTGAAACGCGATACATTTTGAGGAAATAGTTAATGGGAAAAAGTAAACAAAACGTTCTTTGATAAAATAATATAAAATCAAACGCAATGCACTTTCTCATCGGAAAAAATGAAAATCTTCCAGTAGACCCAGTTGGGAAAGCCCCTTAGCTACTTCAATTGGGAAGAGTCCGTCAGACGGACAGTATATGGGCTAGCTAACACCCTGATGCGGTACAGTCCGATCTGCGCATGTGCTCAAAGAAGCCCTCTTTTTATTATACAAACAGTTTATTTAGGTTTTTATTTCATTTTATGTTCTTGCAAAGCGTGATTGTTGTGTCTTGATCATTTATTACACTTTATAATCATGAAAATATAAATAGTTGTCGAATAAAATTCAATATTTTGGATACCGAAATGTAAACAAAGCCTATAGTTTTGTTTACATACGGACTGTACCGCATCTTCAATAAATTCGGGCGAGTGACCAACGAGGAGAGGGGTTAATTAAAGTACTGGAACAAGTCTATTTATGATTAAGATTATTCAAGATTATGGGACTTGAATTTGAAGTTAAAATTTGCTAACGTATGGGTTATTATCATACACATATAGAAATGATTGAAGAATAAACACATGCCGACGTTTGTATAGGGCTAAAACAAAATTTACCAGCCGAGATTATCTCTTCAAAAAATTCCAGGACAGCCATGATCTGAATTGTCAACAACACAACAACAAAGACTTCTGCGTGACCCCATGATCGTGGTCACCACTGTCTCCAAAAGGTCAAATACGTCAAGATAAAAATAGGTTACGTCAAGTTAAAAATAGATAAAAAGTGTATTGTCATGATCTGTTTGTTTCTTTAAATTCTTCATCGAATATGCATGCTGGACGATGTAAATTTGCATTATGGGCAAATCTCATGTTTATACAGATGTACTGTATTTATACGGGTCATGCATACAGCTCTTGGCATCACTACTGATTTGCACACACTAGCAAAATCATAATATTATGCATAAGTGGAGAATTTTGTTTTGAAAACTGCGTTTTTGTATGTTGTTCAAAGCTGTATGAATATATCCGCTAATATGTTGTTCAACGAAGTGGCTTTCAGAAATTCTTGTTTTTCCAACTTGGATAACGTCTATGACTTCGTAATTTCTCTTCACGAAGAAGACCACGACGTTTTTATCATATTTGTATTACTTTCCGCTATTCTTTCCGTATTCACATGCCTTGGAAACACTGTGGTACTACTCGCCTACATCAAATCACCTCTACTTTGCAAGAAACTTTCCAGTATTTTTGCAATTAACTTGGCGGTTACAGATTGGCTTATTGGCGTCGTCGTTCATCCTCTTCTCATGATCTTTTTTGTTCAAACAATCAATGATGATTCATCGTGTATGCTACCCTCGCTACTGGCCGTGGTAATCCCAATCCTTATAACGGTCTCTTTATTTAGTGTGGTCGGAGCAACTGCTGAAAGGTTCTTGGCCATCGTGTATCCATTCTACCATAGAACTGAGCTGACGAAGACAAGGCTACGGGCTTTTGTGTTACTGTCCTGGGCGTATGCATTATCTTGGATTTCGATTCTCTTTCTCAGTAAAGAAAATCTTAAAATTTACGTGACTTTAAATTGTGGCTTGCCCATCATATTGACCAGTTGTATCGTAATACTCTGGTTTTACATTCTCATTGAAATTAAAGGCCAATCAGTTGTGGGGAACACTTGCGGGAGTCATCGTCAAACTATATTGCAACATCGTCAGAAATCTGAAAGAAAAACGGCCAAGGCGTTTTTCATAGCAACTTTGAATCTTTACGTGTCTTATTCTCCATTATTTATTGTATTGTTTACGAGGTTTAACGATGCCATGCACGTTATTTCTTTTCTGGAGGTCATGTTGTTGGCCTCAGTTATAAATCCACTCATATATGGCTTGGCAAATATTGCTGTAAGGAATGGCATTCGGAAAGAACTGTTCTGTGGGTAGCCTGCAGGATAAAGATAAATGCCATGACAACTGTTTTGTTATAGTAGCCTGGATAACGCGTTGTTAAATCTCGTGTGGATGATAGTCGACCAGTTTAACTGATTCGAAACCTTGTGCGGTGCAGCTTAGAACGTCTTCAATAGAGAATTTGCTTGAAAATGGACTCAATGAACTTCTGTTTAATTCCGAAAGTAACACTCTTCATCCTCTTTCTGAGAATGGTCAAGTTGAAATTTAAATTAAACTATTTGATGAGTTTACCTGATAAAGTAGTATAATTATGTTATTTGTTAACGCGCTTGCAGAGGGGGCGGACGCCAAAACTGCAAAGGCCCTAAAAATTTCTTGGTACAAGTTGGCTTTAACCGAGAATATAAATCCAGGGTTCGTACAAAACTTGAAAGTCCTTGAATGTCCTTGAATTTGGAAACAAAAATTCAATGCCTTGAATGTCCTTGAATTTGAAAACAAAAATTCAATGCCTTGAATGTTCTTGAATTTGTAAAGAAGTACTTGAAAGTCCTTAAATGTTTCTGGCTTTAGTTTTTGGATATTTTCTGAAATTGTTTGACATTCAAAACGGGCATTTTGTTAATAATTGATTTTGCATGTTCATATCTGATAAAGCTGTTTGAAACTCATTAAAGTCATGCGTTTTGAACAATTCAACGTCAGATTTTACTGATTTCTAACCCCTTTTCTTCAGTATTTAGTTCTTGAATTTGCTGATACATGGCCTTGAATGTCCTTGAAAAGACCTTGAATTTGACTCTTCCTCGCATGTACGAACCCTGTAAATTGTAAAAAACCCCGCTTCTTAAAGGTTTATGACGTCATAAGCCCCCTGGGAGAGTTTTTCCCCACGCCTCTCTTGGCGGCCTTGGCTGTACCTAAATCATTACATCGTATTTTATCATTACATTACAGTTTCTATAACGGGTGTAAAGATGAGGACTTGCACATCATTGAATACATATTATATAGTGTGCCATCATTCCTTGAAGACCCACGAATAAGTCACGGTGAAAGCAACATAGAAATTGCAAAAAACTAAATAAAAATTCGCTTATAGTTTCGCAAAGATTTATCGTTTCGATATATTTTTCTTTGTCCCGAATCCGATCGGATTCGGATCGGATTTGCACACCTCTAATATCTATACCTCGTCCGCAGGCATCTCTGGCCTACAATTTTTTCTGATCCACCCGATTCCTTAGAGATGCCTGCGGAGGAGGCTACTCTTGATCAACTTTTTCAATGTCCAAGACATCCAATGTCTACATCATCATGAATTTTAGCAGCCAAATAGACGTATAGGGAAACTAGTATATAATTTGCAATTCACGCAATGACATCTTATCTGGCAACATTGGCAGTGAAAAAGTTGACCAAGATGAAGATTTTTTTCTACAAACTTAGGATATATTATATTTCGGAACAATAACACTCTTTTAATACCTAAGCAAAAGACCAGTAGACTCGCTAATAGTTTTATTATAGCCGGTAGTAAAAAACCTATACCGCCAGAATCTCTTAACCTAACTGTACTTTTTTTAGTATTGTATATAATTATATGGTTCCTTTGTAGGTTTTCTAATTGTAAATATTCTCGCATGATGCCTATACTATATACTGCAACATTGGTAATAAAGCTATTCCTAATCCCCAATATTTCTTCTCATATAATAACCCAAATATTACACATACCAAAAACCATATTTGGGATTATAAATTTATAATGGTACTTTAAATCTATTTTCAGCTGTTTAAGTTGAAGGAGGTTTTCGTTTATTTTTAAATCAATCAGTATTCTTGGTTAATTTGTTGAACCAGATGGTTTTGCGCTTGCTGTTAAACAATTGTGATTTGCGTCACAGTTTACTTTGTGTTATCAGCTGTCATGCAGTGGTAGATGTTATTGTATTCATAGACATAATGCATGTTATCAAACTAATTAGAATGAAAAAAAAATAGCCTGGATTTTCATTCCAAAATAAATCTGACTTTTTCGGATTCCGATTCCCTACATATAGCCTACCATGAATTATGTCGAATTATGCAATGTAATAATAGTACGTAGACTGGAAGAAGATGAAAAGTTGTGAGAAACTGGACAGTATATGAAAGTTGACTGATGCATTGAATTGAAACTGCGTACATATTTTTTGAACGTATTGTACATTTATGTTTATATTTATGTTTATTTACTCGAACCGACCTGACCGCGTAGCTCAGTTGGCAGAGCATTGCTCTAGTATTCCAAAGGTCGTAGGTTCGATTCCCCCCGTGGCCGGGCATATTTTTCAAGCTCGTCCGGTGTGGATATACACTCAGAGTAACATCACAAACATCATATATAAAAACGTTAATAATTCAAGCACTTTCATTGGTCGAAACCCATGATCTATTAGAGGACAGACGCACGGAATTACGTCACAATTAAGGTAGCCAATAGCGTTCCCTTATTTGTATAGATCCTGTACGCGTGATATTTGTAAAATTTCGACTCGACTTTTTCAAATTTACAAATGTTTGTGTAGGTAAAAAGTAAGCTATTTACCTGTTTAATTCGGGGGGTTTCTTTTTATTATATAAAACAAATAGATAAGATTTTGACGTTGTCTGTTCAGTTATAGATACACATTATGACGTCATAATGTGGGAAGAACAAAGAAGCGATCCACTTCACTCGGGGGTTCGTGAGCCACTTTTTTGTTCTTCCAACATTATGACGTCATGTTGTGTATCTATAACTGAACAGGCAACGGCAAAATCTTATCTATTTGTCAATAATGTACCAGTAGACCAGATTTTGTTTCATTGCGAGACCAGTTGACTGATGACACGCTATAGACCCATTGCACATGACGTCACAGCGCCAGTGATGATGCATCTGGAGGACAAATTAGCAATCTATGCATAATATAACTTTTGTAAACAAAGCAAATTTTGTAAAAGTTTATAATAATTTTGTATTAAAATGGTTAATTTTTGCGCTGTATGTGCTTGTTGTACCCGAATAGATATTGTTAGGGAGCATCTGGAGGACACTCTAAGGATTTGTGACGTCAGTGCAAAGGGTCTATTCTGAGAATGGCGTGCACATGCACATGTCTTGGCATGACTTCAGCTTATCAATTGGGTACGGTTTCTAGTCCATCCTGTTCAACGCAGCGTGTAGCAGCTCTCTTCTCTCTGGCTCGTACCCAGTCGTCATGGTTATAATTACAGCAGGCCCGTAACTAGCTATGAGTCAACCGAGTCAGTTGACTCGGTAAGATTTTTTGTGAAAAAATTTCAAGTTTAGAGAAAACAGACCCTGAATGAAATTTATTAAATTTTTGATGAAGGGTAGAAGTACGAATTAGCGTCCCAAGAATTACCATAAAATCAAACATTTTCTGGGGGAGCATGCCCCGACGACTCGACTCGGTAAATCTAAAATCCTAGTTATACGGGTCTGTACAGTACATATATAGATCAGTGAACTGAAGTATGTGATGCAGGATGGGAGCGAAGACATTCCCATCATGCACCATTATATGTACTCATACTCACTGCAGTCACTGTTAATGTAACCAATAAATAAAACTGTTCAAGGAGGCCCGCATCTGCATGTACAATTAGCCATTTTCCAATCGAGCAGAGGACTGGGTCTAGTCGCTTGTTTGGAGGGACACAAAATAAACAATATGCCGAATATGGCATCTAGGAAGTTTTCCTACATTCCTAAAGTTATTTGTTGCAGCCTGAAACGCAACAGTTATAATAAGGCATCTTTTAATATATATTTAGCTCGCTCACTATAAGTTGTTGTCCCTCCAAGCGTCCCTCCAAACATCAACTGGACCCAGTCCTCTGCTCGATTGGGAAATGGCTAATTCAATGCATAGCAATGCATACATATTAAATTTTTACATGAAGTAATTTACACCATATTAGATATGAAACAGTTTTCTCCGATCTGAAAAGAAAAATACTTGACTATGTGCAGCATGGTGCGGGCATTGAGCCAGCCGGGCGTCCAACCGCCCAATGTAAACCTGTTAAGGCTTTGCGTCCACGTCAGAGTGGTAAACATATTAAATCAAGAAAACACGGACGGCCCAATAAAATGTTGTCTTTATATAAAAAGCAACTTGCTAGTTTTGTGATATCTCCAGAATACCTCAAAAGTTGTCATTTTAACACTTTTTCGATACATTTTTGTCCAAATGATTAAATTTTCCATAACAGAAATGTTCAGTCAGAATACTACTTTAGTGCCTACCACCAGCGCGTGCTTAAAGTGATTTAAAAGTCTTCCTCATCGGTGGTTTGTTTTGTCTTTTATTTCGAACGATGTGACTAAGTATGCATATTACCAATAATAATGTGTTGAATGGAAATCCATCACCATGGCTAGAAGGAGCATCTTAAAATGAGTAAAATTGCAAAGTCTGGTTGCGAAATGTTGTAAAATGAGGAGGATATACCCCTGCGAAATTTGCACATTTTGTATTAATTTGTATATTATACGCAAGGGAAAATGCACCACATTTGGGCCGAAAGTGGTGCATGTTCCCGTGCGTAAAAATAATACAAAATTTGCCAATTTCGCAGGGCTATAGCTATTTTCCGCATTATACAACATTTCGCAACCAAACTTTGCAATTTTACTCATTTTAAGAATGATGCACTTTCTAGCTGTGATGATGGATTTCGTTTTTCTTGCCCAGATCAAAATTAAGTCTATAGCTAGAATCATCCATTATCGTAATTTCGTTGATTCGAGTGCTGTGTGTGTTTTTCAGCTCCACAACTCGTCCATGGAGGAGGAAACATCGACTTCTTGGTGTTTGACTACTTGTCTGAAATAACCATGTCATTGTTGGCTATGGCTCAACGAAAGTCCCCGGTACGTTGTGAATATCCTTAAACATTAAGGTTAAACATCAGAAGACGGATTACCGTCAAAGACGGGGGAACATGTTATAACATGATATGAATTAAACCTATGCATCGGGCTAATATATTCTGAAAAGACCCGAAACTCTCAATCCAAGTCTCTCTTCGAAGTTACCGTCTGAAAGTTATCTTGATTTTTTTTAGATTTTTACTCAAATATTTATTGTAATAATTTATATAATATAATTGTATAGTAACTAATCTAACACAAGTCCTCTATTTATAACAGCTGTTTTCAGGTGAAAGAGTCAACCTGTTAAAATAAAGATTATTATTAAATTTTGTTATTATTATTATTATTATTATTATTATTATTATTATTATTATTATTATTATTG